GCCGTTGCGGGGCCCGGGTCCGCGCGGGCTCGCGTCCGCGCTCGGCGTAAGGCGCTGCTGCGGGGCGGCCGGAGGCGTCGCTGCGGCGATCCCGGAGAGCCCAGCGTCGTTCTCGCGAACGAGCTCGCTGCCCCGCGGTGGGCGGCAGAGTCACCCGGCAGCCCGGGCCCTCCTGCGGGCGAGAACGCGATGCGTCTTCTCCGCGAGTCGGACGGACGGGCTGTCAAGGCCGGGGCCGCCAGCAAGCGAGAGGAAAACTGCCCCTCCCGAGCGTGCGCTCCCTGACGCCCTCGAAGAGGGGCCCCGTCTGGCCAGCCTGGGGCTCGCTGGGAGGGCCAGCAGCGCCTGCGCCTCTCGCCAGCGGGAAGGAATGTGGCTTCCTGTCAGTGGACTCTGACCTTGGCACCAGCCGGCCCCCGCCCCTGGACAGCCACAGGCTGCAGCAGCTGCACCCAGAGCCACCCCCAACCCGTGCTCTGCTGCCCCTGGCCCACCTTCTGGCCCGTCCTGCCCAGCCTGTCCTTAGGCACATAGGTCTGCCAGACTTTACCCCAGGACCAGAACCCACTTGTCTGCTGGAGACCCATGCGCTGGGGCGGGGGGTGGTGGGTGGCCCTGCTGGGAGGAGGTAGGGGGCACTGGGTAGAGTAGCTCTGTACATGGTGTGGGGCTGTCCCTGGAGAAGCAGGGACAACTTTGCCTACTCAAGAGGGGGACGGGAGTCCTGGAAGGAAGCAGGCGAACACCAGGGCCCCCAGGCCTGTGGAGAAGCCCTCAGCTGTTCCAGTGCCCTGGGAGGTACCTGCGGCCCAGCCTGTGGCAGGATGCCGTGTAGCCCCAAGCTTAAGAGTTCACTCGTCACCAGACCCGGATTTGAGGATAAAAGCTCTAGAACTGGGTGACAGGGAAGTGGCTATTCTCCCAGACAGCTACGCCTTGCTGCGTTTCTGGAGGCCGTGGGTTAGGAAACAGGATTTTCCCAGGCCAGTGATTCCCAGGGCCTTGCTCTTTGGTTGGATTTGTGGTTTTTGCTGGCCCCAGGAACTGTTTACTTGTCTCAGGGTAGGTAGCACAGAATTCATCTCCACCCCCAAGATTAACATGATTTGTTTTCTTGGGGTTTTTTTTGTGACCAGTAAGGGGATCGCAACCCTTGGCTTGGTGTCGCCCACACCACGCTCAGTCAGTGAGCGCACCGGCCATCCCTATATAGGATCCGAACCCGCAGCGGTAGCGCTGCTGCGCTCCCAGCGCCGCACTCTCCCGAGTGAGCCACGGGGTCAGCCCAACATGATTTGTTTAATATTTAGAATGACTGCCCACAGCGGTTTGTATTTGGTGAGGGGAGAGGATGTGGCCAAAGCCTACCCTGGGGTGGGATATAGGGCCGTGCCGCTTCCAGCCAGTTAGAGTCTTCTGTGCACTTGGCAGACTGCTGGACCAGCTGGGCCTTGTCGTCTCTGGGTCCCCCACCCTTGCTGGAGCTAAGCGTACACCTACTCGCAGAAAGCCCAGGCCCAGCCGGATCCTGGGCAGAAGTTCCTGTGGGGAGTGGCTTCTCAGAGGGCTTCCTAAGGAGTCCTTGGAGGAGTAAAGCTGCACCCCAGCCCCCCACGGGGTCCACCTGGTCCCTATCCTCAGCACAGGGGGTGACCATTCTTTGTCTCCACAGCTATGATATGGTGCATTACGGCCACTCCAACCAGCTGCGCCAGGCGCGGGCCATGGGTGACTACCTCATCGTGGGTGTGCACACTGACGGTATGGTATGGGTCCGCCGTGCCCCACAGCCCTCCAGGGGCTGCCCCTATTGACTGAAAGCCTGCAGGGCCCTGGGAATGCCAGGCCCGGCCAGGGTCTCCTTACCCAAAGCATGGTTGTGAGAGAGCTTAGCAAGCTTGGCCCAGCCCCAGCCCCAGCTGAGAGTGTCCTAAAGCCATTCCCATCTTGCATCTTCTGTCATGAGCTAAGAGACAGGGGCTGCTGGAAACCACGACCAGTGCAGTGGAAGCCCACGACCCCCAACTGGCTCCTGAGACATTCTGGGGCTGAGCTCTAGGTCATGAGGGGACCCCTTACTGCCTGAGCCTCTCGTTGGGTGAGGGAGCTATATAGGCAGCAGACACATCCCGAGCACGCTGTGGGGCCACAGAGGACAGAGCAGTGGCCACTCGGATGTGATCCTGTCCTGTGAGCTGAGGGCCTGGTGGGAGAGACAGCTTGTCCACCGTGAGGCCTCATGTGTGGTTACAGACCCTGCTCAGTGTTGAGGAGGGGGCCTCCTGCGGAAGCGGCTGGCAAGCCAGGGTCACCTGTCCTGTTCTCTCCTTTCCTCTGGCCCTAGAGGAGATCTCCAAGCACAAAGGGCCCCCGGTGTTCACTCAGGAGGAGAGATATAAAATGGTGCAGGCCATCAAGTGGGTGGACGAGGTGGTGCCCGCAGCCCCCTATGTCACCACGCTGGAGACGCTGGACAAGTATGACTGCGACTTCTGTGTCCACGGCAGTGAGTAGGCAGGGGCTGGGGGCCTGGGGCAGCGGGGGCGCTCAGGATCAGACCTCCTGGTGGGGTGTCTGCAGGTGGTAGGGCTCCTTACCCTTTGGAGCACATGGAGCCCTTTGAGGATCTGAGAAAGCTTTGGGCCCCTCTGCAGAAATGAGCACATGTATGCCGGGTCCGGGAGGGTCCTGGCCCTCAAGGTCTTTCTGGCTTTGGGGTAAGAATCCTTGTTCTTGCTTGTGTGTCTCCCCTTAGATGATATCACACTAACCGTAGATGGTCACGACACCTATGAGGAAGTGAAGCAGGCTGGGAGGTACAGGTGAGTGCCTGCAGCTGTTCAGGGAGTGGGCATGAGGGTCCCTCCTAGATCTTTCTTTGCTGTTTCCCATAGCCTGTGACGGCCACGTCTGTGCCTGTCTTCTCATGGCCAGGACTGGGAACTGGAGGCAGGGAGTTACTGTGGTGTGGCCTCAGGACCCTTGCTGTGTGGTGGACCCCAACCCATGGCTGCAGGGCAGCACTGCAAGGCAGAGCTTTGCAAGGATGGTGACATTAGTCGGCATGGCGCTGTCAAACAGTAGGACTGTTGCTGGTGCCACTGAGGAGCTGGCTCTTTATTTTTAACTAACTTTAAAGTTCCAAGTGCAGCCCGTGGATCCTGCTGGGGTGGTGCAGCCCAGAGCTCCCTTGGCAGAGTGTGCAGCAGGGCGGGACCTGGGTGTGAGGGAGGCCCGAGGCCAACGGCAGGATGGACACCGAGCTGCTGCCACTGTCCCACTGCTGCCACTGTCCCTGGCATGTCACTCCCCCATACTGGAAACTTGGGGTGCAGTGATTCTTCATATTTCCTCCGCTCCTGTCGTCGTCTTCAGCTAATGAGAGCACAGTGGCCCTCCCGTTCTGGTATACATTTCTTGTGGTGGCCGAGAGCAGTGGGGGTGCCCAATCTGTGGGGCAGCTGTGGGCTTTGCCCCAGGCAGGGCTGCTGGTGCCCCTTAGGTGTTGTTAGCTGGAGGCAGAGCCTCACAGTGTACCCCAGGGTGAGAACCCCACCCCGTCTGTCCCCAGAGAGTGCAAGCGCACCCAGGGTGTGTCTACCACAGACCTTGTCGGCCGCATGCTACTGGTGACCAAGGCCCATCACAGCAGCCAGGTGAGTCTGGGGCCGCTGGGTGGAATCCCTGAGGTCTCACGGTTGAGGCCATTGCAAGGAGGGAGGGCGCACCTCTGTGCCACTCTCAGGGTCATCCTGCCCCCCCACAACCCTCTCCCCTTCGTGGCTCCAGGACAGTGACCTGCCCGGTCTTGGGGCTGGTCACGTCTAAAGGGGGAAGCTCCTGAGGCCCACTCTGCCCTTCTGTGCAGGAGCTGTCCTCTGAGTACCGGGAGTATGCAGATAGCTTCGGGAAGGTGAGTGTGAACCATGGGGCCACCTAGGAATGTGGATGCTGGGCTGCCATTAGGGCCTCCTCTGTCCCCTGTCCCAAGCCATTCCTTGGGGAAAACTGGCCCAGAGTATCCCTCCCCCCACTCCCTTCCCAGCACTGACTGCCAGGCTCAGCCAGCTGGCGGATGCCAGGAGGGAGGACAGGCAGGAAGTGGCACTAGCTGGCTGGTCACAGCAGCCACTGCTTGGAGGAGGAGCAAGGACTGCCTGTGTACAGGTGGCCTCTAACCAAGTGGCCTGGCCCTTTCTCCCATTGTAGCCCCCTCACCCGACACCTGCTGGGGACATACTTTCCTCAGAAGGCTCCTCCCAGGTGACCAGATGGTGGCCTCAGGGGTGCCGGCTCCCCCAGAGGGCTGTGTCCTCCAGCCACTGAGCTCTGCACCTCCTCCCTGTGGTTGGTCGCTGGGCTGAAGTGGTGTTGGCTGCAGTGGCCACTGGATAGAGACACAGCTGTGCCAGCTGCAGTGGCCCCACATAGCCTGGTGGTGGTGTGTCCCCTACCCATTTCCCTGCTCCTCCCCCTGCCTAGGAACAGTCTGAGTGAGGGCCACTGGGTCGCTGGCAGGCTGCAGCTAGGCGCTTGCAGTCCTGGCCTGCCATGTTCCCTGCATCTGCTCCTGCAGTCCCATGGCTGTGCTTCCCAGGGTCAGCCCCAGGCTCAGCAAAGTAGCCCTGGGGGGCCTCTGCCGCTGACCAGCTTCCTCTCTTGGCTTACAGTGCCCTGGTGGACGGAACCCCTGGACAGGGGTGTCTCAGTTTCTGCAGACCTCCCAGAAGATCATCCAGTTTGCTTCTGGGAAGGAGCCCCAGCCAGGAGAGACGGTCATCTATGTGGCCGGAGCCTTTGATCTGTTCCGTATCCTCTTCTGGGCCTCTGCTGCTCCACATCCAACCATGTGGGGGTGGGTCTGGGGGGCCTTGCTGACTCCTGGACAGGGCCAGGGTGCAGGAGAATGGTGGTGAGGCCAGTGGGTACAGGATATCGGGGGCTTCAAGCTTCCTTCCTCTTTCACTTCTTAACATGAGTGCAGACATTGGGCACGTGGACTTCCTGGAAAAGGTGCACGGGCTGACAGACAGACCCTATATCATCGCCGGATTGCACTTTGATCAGGTTGCTGCCCAGCACCCACTCATTCCCCCAGCACCCTGGGCAGCTGATGGGCCCTGGAGGCCCTCAGTGGGCTCCTGGGTCAGTGTTGGGCATAGGTGGCCTTTGGAGGAACAAGACTCCAGGTGCCTGGTGAAGGCAAAGGAGCACCCCTGGGGGGTGAGCTTTGGCCTCTTCTGAGGTCCAGCGCCATTTTGTCCATGGGGGCAGGCACCTTTCCCGCCTTCCCACAAGGGACAGCTGGAAGGGGGCACACCTGTCCCCCTGAGGTCCCCATGCTGAGCCAACCTCGCTCTGGCCCTAGGAGGTCAACCACTACAAGGGGAAGAACTACCCCATCATGAATCTGCACGAGCGGACCCTGAGCGTGCTAGCCTGCCGGGTGAGTGTGGCGGGAGCCAGCACAGGAGCGGGAGACGTCCCCGACATTTCCCTCCCCGGGCCTCCTCACTGAGTCAGGGCAGGGCCTCTCGGGTCTCTGGCAGTGCCCTACCCCAGCACCCCCGATTCTGGGGTGCCCACCCACCTCTGATTAGTAAGGTGGGGGGTGGGGTGGGTGCCATTGGCACTGTTCTTTTCCACCCTTGAGGGCTCCTGGGGACACAGCAGCTCCCCTAGCTTGGGCTCCCCCAGCCACGCTGTCCCCACCCCTGCTTGCTCAGTGGCATCGTCAGTCTGGGTCTGGGCCATCTTCCATCTCTGGCCCTGGCTTTGGAGCAAGGGCTGAGCGAGCTGCTCTGTACTGTCCCCACAGTATGTGTCAGAGGTGGTGATTGGGGCCCCATATGCAGTCACAGCAGAGCTTCTGGGTCACTTCAAGGTGAGGATCCTGCTGGGCTGGGAGCATGGAGCTGGGGATGGCCCTTGGGCTGAGGAAGGGGCAGGGTCAGCTCTCCCAGTCCAGGGCCTGCACTGGGCCATTGACTGTGGCAGCAGCTGCCTCCCTGGCGAGGGCTCCTGACTCTCCCTCTGTCCCCAGGTGGACCTGGTGTGTCACGGGAAGACAGAGATTATGCCTGACAGGGATGGGTCTGACCCCTACCAGGTGGGTAATGCTGGCCCTCACTGGGCTTGGAAGGCTGCTTCCCAGCCACCTGTGGCCTCACCATGCCTATCTGGGAAGTGGGCATGGTGTTTGTATCCCTCTGGGGCAGAGCAGTTGGGCAGGTCTCCGCGTGCTCAGGACAGACCCTAATCTCATCCCTCCTCCCTGGGCCTCCAGGAGCCCAAGAGAAGGGGCATCTTCCGTCAGGTTGACAGTGGCAGCGATCTCACCACAGACCTCATTGTCCAGAGGATCATCAAGAACAGGTGAGGTTAGCCCAGGTAGGCCTGGTGCGGGGGCAGCGGGGGCAGCGTGGAGCAGCTAGTGGCGGGAGGCCCCAGACCTGGGCGCACAGTCACCCTCTCACCCAGCTTACGCCAGCCCGGCCCTCCAGATTAGAGTACGAGGCACGAAACCAGAAGAAAGAAGCTAAGGAGCTGGCCTTCCTGGAGGCCATGAGGCGACAAGAGGTGCAGCCCTCAGGGGAGAACAGCTGTGATTTCTGACGCAGAGGAGCGTGGTTCTGGAGAGCCCTCGGTGCCAGGTGGTCCTCACCTTGCTCTCCTGTGTCCTACAGTTTGGCTGTTATGATCCTTAAGGAAGCCGCAGTGCCACCTCTTGCTGGCCTGGCTCTGGGAGGGTGGTGTGGGGGGACGCTGCCTCCCACCTGCCTGCAAGGTGTCCATTTTGCGGCAGGCACCCAGCCCTCTCTGTTAAGCTACTCAGAGAGGGTGCCTAGAACAGTGGAGCGGCCCAGCAAGCAGGATGAGCAGAGGGCTCTGCTCAGTGCGTTGGGTTCCAGCTGCCGTGCTCCATCCTGTCCCAGAAGCTCCCTCTGACCCTGGACACCTCCTGCTGCCTGGGCTGGAGGCCACGCTGCCTCCCCCCTTCTTTGGTGGGAGGCACAGAGGGACCCCAGGACTGCCCCTTCCTTCTCTGGGTGCAGACCACACACGCTCTGCCCTCCAGCACCCCAGCACCCGGGCCTGGCTCTAGCAAAATGCGCTTGTCCCTCCCCGGCCAGCTCTGCTGTTCTTCAGACGGATTCTGTTCTGTTCTGTGCCTCACCGGCTGATGTAAATCTCTTTGGTGCGACCAAATAAAGCCTGGTGAGCAGTGCTGTGTCGGAACCCCCCATGGAGAACCCTGGGCCCTACTCCCACCATCCACCTAGCAGGGATATAGAAGAGAGAAGGGAGTGAGTCAAGCGTCCCCTTTACTCCATGGTCTGTCTCAAGGAAGATGAGCAGCTCAGCCCTGTGCTTCTCCCCAGGGCCACAGGATCTGAGTCCCCCTGAGCTGCAAGTCACCCATAGACTCATCAGGGAGGGCACAGGGGCTGCCTGGCTGCGGAGAGGGCAGGGCCAGCCCTGAGTATGCTGCTGCCAGGACCCAGGAGATGGGACTGGGGACTGTCCCCTCAGCCACAGCAAGTGGAGCCCAGGGCCCAGGTCAGCGCCCTAGAGAAATGTCCACCCATGCAGGGTGAGAACTCACCCACCGTGGCAGGCCCAGCCAGCAAGGCACACTGTGGGGTGGGGGGACACCCTAGGAGGCAGGCCCAGGCCCTGGAATTCTTGAGCTTCCTGCCCCCTGCACCCTCAGATTCAGCAGGGCCAGAAGGGGTGGGGAAGAGGGAGGCAGGCAGGGGCCCCAGCTCATGCTCTAAAAGAAACTCAAAAGTCAGCTTACAAAGATTTGGCTCTGAGACCCAAGAGCTCTAGACGGTGGGGGTGGGAATCAGCCTGCTAAGTTAGACGAGTGTAGGCCAGGGAGGCCCCTGGAGCCTGGGCCGGCCATGGCCCCACAGAGTCCCTCCTAGAGCCCTCAAGGCTGTAGAGGGGCTGCTTCCCCATGGGTTGGGGGAGGGGTGGGCCCAGAGCCTTGGGAAGGCTCAGCCACCATTGTGCCCAGCTGTGTTGGTGAGTCTGAGGGCCTCTAGGCAGCCCCGGCCATAGGGGTACAGTCTCATCCTCCCCTGGACCTGTACACCTGGCTGCCCCCTCCTCCCTGGCCCAGCCTGGAAGGCCCTTTTGTTCTTTAATTCATTGAACACATGGTTACTCTGTGCTCAGTCCTTCAAGATGTTTTGGGAGTGGCTCTAGAGAGGGTGAAAGTCAGGATTCGAGGCAGGAGGGTCACCTGGGGGGTGTGGTTAGGGGAGGCTTCTCTAAGGCAGATGTGTGAGACCTCACGGCTAGTGGGAACACAGGCGGTGCCTCCTGAAGGGATCCAGGAACTTTCTACGGGACCCAGATGTGTGGAGTTGGGGCTGCAAACATCAGGGAGAGCAGCCTCTGGCGGTTTCAGAGAAGACTCTGGAAGGCTCTGAGAGCCAGGCAGGGCAGGGGCCTACAGAAGGTCTCACAGGGCAGAGTGATGGGGTCACAGCAATGTTTTCCGTGTAGTGGGGCCTGGGGGTCCTAGGTGGAGGGTTTTAGGACAGCTTGGTGGGCTGAAGGACCTGGGAATTGCCTGTGCCCAGGGCCTGGTGGGGAGTCTTGGGCTGAACCCCTCACCCATGTGGGAGACCCCCTGTGCTGACTCCCTCAGTGGCGCACCCTGGTCCCCTGCTTTGTGGAGGAGGGAGGCCAGGGAAGGGCAGACCGGCCTGGCCAGAGGAGCGGGCGCTCCGCGGGGAGCTCGCTGGGCCAGGCAGCCGCTCCTCTCGTGGACTGCACTTGGCGGGGTCTAGGGACTTCCGGGCCCCTTTCCCCTCGAGGCCCCCGGGCCTGCCCTCCAGCGACCCGCACTCAGACACCCGCTGGACTTCTCGTATACTCGTTTAGCCATTTACTTCGGGGGCGGGGATGGGGGCTCCTGGGGCATCCTCCCGTGCCCGATGGTGGGGTCTGGCGGTCCATGAGCGGGGCAGTGGGCGTCGGGGTGTCCGGTGGGGGCGGGCGACGTCCGGGGTCGGGCTCAGGCGCCGCGGCAGTCGGCCGCACGCAGCGACAGGAAGACGTGGGCCGTGCACTGGAAGGTCCCGCGGCCGTCGGGGAGCCGCTGGCAGCTCTGCAGGTTTGGGGCGACGTCCTCGACACACACAGCCTGGGAGGAGAGGGGTGAGGGTGAGGGGCCGCCCGCGCCGCCCGCCGCCCGCGCC